CCCAGTAATGTAATTTTTTTTTAAATACTTTTATTTATTTCTAGGAGAGAGAGAGAGAGAGAGAGAGAGAGACAGCGTGATCAGGGGAGGGTCAGAGAGAGAAGGAGACGCAGACTCTGAAACAGGCTCCAGGCTCTGAGCTGGCAGTCAGCGCAGAGCCCGACGCGGGGCTCGAACCCACGAACCGCGAGATCATGACCTAAGCAAAAGTCGGACGCTTAACCGACTAAGCCATCCAGGCGCCCCAGTAATGTAATTTTTTAAAAGTAATCTCTACACCCAACGTGGGGCTCAAACCCCTGACCCCGAGACCGAGAGTCGCCTGCTTCACTGACTGAGCCCACTGGGCACCCGACATCCCAAGTAATTTAAGAGATGAGGGTTTATACATACGTTCATATAGGTACACGTTATTGCAGATTTTTATGTAAACCACAATAGGAATATTATCTTGAATGATTCCAATCTCCTTTTAGTTTTCCTTTCCTCAGTTTTCAAAATTCTTTTAGCAATTTCACGGCCATTTATATGCCAATTAAGTAGACATAAAGATATAAATTAATCTACTTCATAGAATCTAGTTTAGATGGAGCACCTGGGTGGCTCAATCGGTTAAGCATCTGACTCTCGATTTTGTGTCACATCATGATCTCAGAGTTTGTGAGTCAGGGCCCCAACCCAGGCTCTGTGCTATCGGTGTGGAGCCTGCTCAGGGTTCTCTGTCATCTTCTGTCCTCTTTCTCTCTCAAAAATAAACATTTAAAAATAAAGATGAATCTAGTAAATCACGTCTCTAGAACCCTCTCCAGGTGTACCATTTAACTGGCAAACTCCTGTTTTCTCAATTATGTAGATTAGGAAATTTGGCCAATGACAAACGACAGGTATCCAGTGTAGCAATGGAATCTGTCACTGCTACCTCACATTTTGAAAAAGGACTTATAAAAACAAGAGTAAACCGATCATTCTGCTAAACTGTATTAGGCTGAACTCAAGAAAGAGGATTTCATCAAATCTTGGACTTGGGAGAGAATTTTAAAAGATCAGTCAGTTAGGCAAACCATTAAAAAGTTATGCAGAAAACAGGTCTGGACAGTCTAAAGAAAATGAGAGTTTTAAGGATGTGGGTTTGAATAGAAACAGACCAGAGCACAAAGCTAGACTCCAATATTTAAAGGAGGAGAATTCTTCTTCAAGAACTAACAAGTTCTTGCTTAAATGATCAGTGACAAAAACATAGGTCAAGTTGTACTTAGCACAGCTGAGCAGGACAGTGTTTCAGGAGAAGTGCACTGCCCGCTGTGGACACCCTGCTGGCTCAGGAAGCCCCTCACTGCTCTGCTATAGTCAGCATTCTCGAATGTATCTAAATACCCTCATGATTCTCCTTGTTCACCGGCTCTAGGCTCGAAACTCTCCTAAGAGATGCCCTTGCCAACACAGGGTAGAGGGCCCGGCCAATCTCTCTTGTGTGATCTGAGGGACCGGAGCCCCCTGCAAAGCACAACCACCAAGCACCATGCATGCATCCCGAAAGAGAAAGGGAAGGCCCTCGCTGGAGGCCTGACTGAGGTGACATGAGAGCTGTCATTTCACAGGAACGTGAGGACGTGACTTTCATTCCAAAGCATTTCAACACCATGTATGAGTCCACTATTTATTCTTAAATGTCCACTAAACTGGAAAAAGTGAAAGCCAACCACGGAGTCCATGTGAATCCCGACCGTATACATGCTCTCTACAGCCTCAGCACTCGATGGGACAGTTAGGCCCCATATATATTTGTAACCAAATTCAGAACAATTTTGATTTAAATTTGTGCCATTGTAAGAATTTTCATATACCCCTAACTTAGCATCCTGCTCTCATTCTAAAACTTTCCATGACTCCTTTTCCTTTTCAGGATCAGTTTTTGTCTTTTGAGTTAAAAACAAAAAACAAAAAACACCTTTTTGATTTTATTATATCCGTCTCTCCCTTTTTTTTTTTTTTTAATATTTATTTCTGAGAGACAGAGAGACGGTGTGAGCAGGGGAGGGTCTGAGAGAGAGGGAGACACAGAATCGGAAACAGGCTCCAGGCTCTGAGCTGGCAGTCAGCACAGAGCCCGACGCGGGGCTCGAACCCACGAACCGCGAGATCATGACCTAAGCGAAAGTCGGACGCTTAACCGACTAAGCCACCCAGGCGCCTCCATCTCTTCCTTTCTTAAAGCATCACACTGTGTGACCAGCCCACTGAAGACAATGACCTTCCATGTCCTCTTTTTTTTTATTTTTAATTTATTTTGAGAGACTGAGAGAGTGAGGGAAGGGCAAGAGAGAGAGAAAATCCCACGCAGGCTCCACTCAGCATGGAGCCCGATGTGGGGCTCGAACTCACAAACCGTGAGTTCACGACCTAAGCTGAAATCAAGAGTCAGAAACTTAATTGACTGAGCCACCAGGGCACCCCGATATTCTCTTCTTAAGGAGCAGTGTGTGTACTTTGTGGCGTGCAGAGAGCCCCCCACACCTGCCACCTTCAGGGGAAGAGCTGTCCCGTGAGCGCAGCACACTGACAGGCCCCCTCAGCCCTCCTGGAGGCTTTCCTCCCTCACTGACCCTAACCCTGGTCCACATGTAGATTAAGAGGATGGGCTCTGGGGATCTGTTAGCAACGACTGAATCCTGGCTTCTACCACTGACCAACTGCATGATCTGGGGACAGTTATGCAAGTTTCCTCATCCAGGAAGGGAGTCTAGGAACAGTAGCTAACTTCAGTGGCCACTGTACGAAAGGTGCAAAAAGGACCCGGAACACTTCATACAGCTTACCACCATTCTCTCCTCTCCCCTGACACATGCCCACGTCGGGGGGGCAGGGCTTGTCCCGTTTCAGGCCAGCTCTGTTCCCTCCCCCCACTCCTAGCCTGGCACACCAGACGCCACTCAGCTCAAACGGTCCCCGTCAGAGTCACTCTGTCCACGGACCACAGCTGCAGGCAAGCGTGCCGGCGGGTTTACGTGCAGTGTACGAAACATCCGATACAACCAAAACACAGAGCTACAAAAATAAACACAAGTATTCTAATATCCTCTAAAGCCAATCTGATATGTACTTTTGAATTTAAACACAAATTTGAATACAAATTCTCCCTAATTCCTCGGGCCATTAACAGAAAATTTAATAGGAAAAAATAAACCCAAGTTCTAAAAGAATCACAATCAACCTTGTTAGATGCCAAATGCCTAAATCTTCCAAAATAAACTTTAAATTAACGATGTATTTATTACTAGCTTCCTGGGGATAGTTTTAGATGGAGCATGACAAAATGAATAGTGTGAATCATCTTCTTTGGACTATAAATACAAGGCAGCTTTCACAACCTTTATTTGGAAATTTAATAAAAATGAACTAGATGTCAAGTAAAAATATTAGTCAAATACTTGCATAATATCTGGCCTTGCAACTTTTAAGTTAAATATCACACATAAGTAAGTTTCTGCAAAATAAGTTAATGTATTCATATTATAACAAGATAAAATGGAAGATTAACGGAATGAATCTTTTTTCAAAAGTTTATATGGAGAAAGTTTATGACAAGAAAAGCTTCATCATGAATCTTTCCTCCTGTTTTCAGCATGTAACTCCAGAATTCAAATGTCCCGCCCATCAAGGGCAAGGACAGAGCAGAGACCCCACAAACCGGCCTCGCCTCCCGGGGCAGAGGGATGGTTCCAATCCTGGGCTCTCCTAGACCCAGAGCCAGTCTGTGGCCTGTCGTCCCCACAGGCCAGCAGTTCTTTTCAAAGCCTGCTGCCGAAGACAGTCTACACTGCAGCCACCCACATGGGCCGGTCAGTACGCCGCGTAAGCAAGATGAATGGGCTGTGACAGACACGTGATCCATCACAGCCGCTGTCTTCTGTGCTCTGACCCGGGGCCAAAAGCAGAAACGCAGCCCGAAGGCCCCAATCCCAGATGCCAGCATGGAGCTGCATCTTCCTGGGGCACCCCTGTCCCTTCGGCAGGAAGAGGCCCAAGGGGATAGCTATGGCCTGGGGCCCATACAACAGAGGTACCTGACCGACTAAGAGGTCACTAAACCCTTAGTCAGTACCTATTCTGCAACAGAAATGTAAATAAAAGCTGTATATGTATTGTTTTATTTCCTTGAAGCTCTCCCCATCTCTACCCTCTCCAGCAATGTGCAGTGGAGCCCTCCACTACATAGATGAGAAAAACAGCACATTTCAATACCCTACCAAATAAGAAAAAAGATCCATCATGAGGTCCCTCGTCAGTGAAAAGGGTAGAAGCGTGTTCAGTAACACATACTAGTGTGGTTTATACGCTGCAACCTTGCAGATACTTTTAAGGTAGAACAAATACACTTATTAAAAGGTAGTTAAGAACACTATGGTTTCTTCCCATGCAAACCACGAAGGGAAGAAAGAAACCTCCAACTTTAACACCTCACAAAGAAGGCAGTGGGGTCAAAATCAGGTCAAACACAAGCATGTCAAAATTAACCAAACTGGGAATTGGAGACACTGACTTCAGAACTGAAACTGTAAGAACAGTGCCTTTCGGTTGCCAGCCCTTCTGTATATTAATGACTGAAAGAGACTCGGGTAAAACATGCCATTTTTTAATGGTAAACGAAGTAAACGATGTCTCCCATAAAAGCCCAGGTAGAAACAGGGCGCCTGGGGGCTCAATCATTTAAGGACTTCGACTCAGATCAGGATCTTGCGATTCGAGTTTGACCCCTGCACTGGGCTCTGTGCTGACAGCTCAGAGACTGAAGCCTGATTCGGATTCCCTCTCTCTCTGCCCCTCCCATCCTCCTCAAAACTAAATAAACCTGTAAGCAAACAAACCAACAAACCAACAGGTAGAAATGAACAGTCACCCATGCTCCAGTCTCCTTACAAGAATAATGACCATGTTGCACGGAAGGTGCTAGCGGTGCACAAGTGCTTCTGCCACGTGCTCTAGGACAGCGCGTCACTCACCCGAGGCCGAGTTCATCATGCTCTGCTGCACCGGTGGGCTGGTGGGCGCCGTGACGCTCATCTGGGAGAGCATGGCCTTCCTGGGGTCCTGCCATGTTGTTGTCTGATCAATGTGACTGTGATGAAACAAACCACTACATTAGACAACAAGCACCAGGCCCTCAAAGCAACAACCCCACTTCCCAAAGCAGAGTAGGTCTATTATGTTTGCCCAGGGAAGGGCTCTCTCGCGGTCACTGCCGTCACTTCCTCCTGTGAACCTTCCTCGGCCTAGTGCCCGCTGCACTTTCACCTCCCACATCCTTCAGGAACAAGATATGAAAACCACGCCTGGAATTTAAGGGAAGGGACACCATTTTCACCTAGGAAACTATTATTACCTGCTTCTAATTTAAACATAAAAGGTGATTTGTAAATTAATCACCTGTGATGGTAGTCATATGACGAGAACCCAATATTCACAAGAGAATCACCCACTTTTTCTTTGGGAGCTAAGAATGCCAATTAACATATACTTTTAGACTTAAAGTCCTTTAGATAAAAACATAAGAGAGATGAAAAAGACTTATTATAAATATATATTCCAAAGCCAAAACAGAAGTGAAACTTGATCTATAAGTTTTGCTGTCTCGTGACTATCAAAAAGGCCTTTGTTAGTTGCTAAACAAAACATTTAAATGCTTCCTGCATACTGTTAACCTACTGCAAAATATCTTCTTACACACGCACATGGATTTTTTCATCTGTAAAACTAAGGGTGCAAAGGGTTGAAGATTCTGTGAACTACAACACTCGAAGGCATCTAGCATAGTTATCTGGCATATGACCGTTTGAGTCTTCTTCCAGCAAAGTTTGTTTCTTTGAAACAGAAACAGAAACACTATGTATGTGAGACTACCTAAGAAATTATGCTTAAGAAATAGCCAGAGAAGGGGGGCGCCCGGGTGGCTTAGTCGGTTAAGCGTCCGACTTTCGCTCAGGTCATGATCTCGCCGTTCGTGGGTTCGAGCCCTGCGTCGGGCTCTGTGCTGACAGCTCGGAGCCTGGAGCCTGTTTCAGAGTCTGTCACTCCCTCTCTCTCTCTCTAACCCTCCCCTGCTCACGCTGTCTCTCTCTCCTAGAAATAAATAAAACATTAAAAAAAATAAAAAAAAAAAAAAAAAAATAGCCAGAGAAGCATTCAAACATGTATGCAAAGTTCACTCTGTATAATTTATAAAAGCAAAAACTGGAAAGCCAGCCAAAAGTGAATGAAAGGGACTGGCGAACTAAATATTGTATCATACGGTAGACTACCGCACAGCTACTGAGACTATTTTAGAAGAATATTTAATAATATGGAAAATGCCTGTGATGCTGCTTTTTAAAGGAGGTTGTAAAACAGTATGTACAGTGTGAGGCAAATTATTTAAATGTGCTGAAAACATGGGAAGAACGGGCATCACCAAGTTTTCACTGTTTATTTCTAGGTCGCAAAATTACAGAACTTTGCTTTGCTAGGTTTTCTTACCATCAATTGTATACAAACGGTATTTTTGAATGGGAGATGGCCAAAAATAAGGGCTATTTTTATTTATTTATTTTCTATGTTTATATTTATTTTATTTTTTTTAGGATTTTTTGAGTTTTATTTTTTTATTTTATTTTTTACAAATAGTTTATTGTCAAATTAGTTTCCATATAACACCCAGTGCTCATCCCCACAAGTGCCCTCCTCCATCCCCATCCCTCCTCCCCCCCACATCCATCAGTCCTCAGTTTTTGTCAGCATTCAAGAGTCTCTCATGGTTTGCCTCCCTCCCTTTCCCCCACCATTTCCCCCCTTCTTCTCCTCCTTGTTCCTCCGTCAAGTTCCTCCTAATCCTCCTATACGTGCACACATGATATTTGTCCTTCTCTGCCTGACTTATTTCACTCAGCATAACACCCTCAAGGTCCATCCATGTTGCTACACATGGCCAGATTTCCATGGTATAGATAAACCACATCTTCTTGCTCCATTCGTCCGTTGATGGACACTTAGGCCCTTTCCATGTTTTAGCTATTGTGGAGAGTGCTGCTGTGAACATTAGGGTACATGTGCCCCTATGCATCAGCACCCCTGTATCCCTTGGGTAAATTCCCAGCAGTGCTATTGCTGGGTCATGGGGGAGTTCTGTTGTTAGTTTCCTGAGGAACCTCCACACTGTTTTCCAGAGGGGCTGTACCAGTTTACATTCCCACCAACAGTGCAGGAGGGTGTAAGGGCTATTTTTAAAAAGTGCCTCCCCTCAATCACTTTTTGTGGCTATTTAAATTCTGTATCTGAGCGGTCTCTTCTTGAATCACCTCGTGATGAAGAGCCACGTCAACGGTAAGGTAGTGACAGGTGGCCATTAACTTTTCTGGAATGGAGCTAGAACATATCTCCTCAATAACGTGATCTTACTGACAAGACAGAAAAACAGGATCGTTACACTTTGGCTAGAACGGACCTTAAATATCACCTGGTGGTAATGGGAGAATTACTTCTGCTCCCAGTAAGAAGGGGACGAAGGACGTGGAGTCTGCACACTTTGGAGTCATGGCGGCACCTGTCACGTGGAGGCCACCGCGGACCCACCATAAACACTGAGGGAGTATTTACTTGTGTGGTGGATCACACAACGCTCCAACCCTAACTTACCAGCACACCTTTTCTCCTGCACTTCTAGGCTGTTCAGCCGCAGCACCACCATTTGCTCAGGTGCAGAAGTACAGGCACAGCCTGGTGTCCATCTTGTCAGACGAGCACCCCAGTCTGTAAGACCGAGTCCTTAGCAGACCCAGTAAGAGCTTATTCCTCCTCCTTTCCAAGCCCCCATATGAGCCACTAAACAAATTAAACCACAAACTCACGAACTGTCTAGATGTTCAGTGCTTCTCACACTTCTAGATATCACACATGGTAACACACGTAGACATACTGGAAAGGAGCTTAAAATCCACAAGAACAAAATTTAGAGAAATGTTTCTCACCACCTGTTTAATGTTAGGAAAGCAGGAAAGGAAACAGCCAAATGATTACTACTGGCTTTTAAATTTCCAAGTACGTGCCACTGTGTGCTCCCGGTCTCTGGGCTTCCTGAGCCCCTCCACTCGCGAGGGTAAAGGAGAGGTGAGGGCACACGAGAAGGAGGTTCAGGATGCAACTGCTCCAAGTTTTGCAAATACTCCGCTCTCTCAAAATAAATCAATAAAAACCCATCTACATCTCTTTAAGAAATAAAGACGTCACTGTCTAAATTGTCTGACAAAAAAAGGATGTAATCTTTTAGATGCCAAAGTGTAAAATAAAATTAACTTCAGAATTTGTCTTCCCTTAGTCTGTGAGATTAAATCATGAAAAACGCGGTTTTATCCTAATATGTCAATTTGAAACAACGTACTCAAAAAATCCAGGCTTCCTCTTGATCAGGAGGGTAAGAACCCTTACAAGAACATTCACGCCACCCAGAAGCACCCTCACCAGCCCCAAGCCCACGGTGTGCAGGCCTCCGGCCCCTCCAGGCACGCGCACAGCACCTCCGGCCCCGCCCCTGGTCCCCGCGCTAGCGCCGTGTTCGCAGGCCCTCCCTGTCCACGTCGCCTGAAATCTGCCCCATCTAAACCCAATCTGCTCTCTCATCTTTGCTCTATCTTTTCCTGATAATCTGACATATTTTACTTATTTCGTTTGCTTGTCTCCTCCAACGAACAAAAGCTCCAGGAAAATAGGGGCTTTTGTTTATTTTATCAACTACAATTATCTTTAATGATTACAAAAGTGTCTGATAGATATTTGTCAATGAATTAATGAAAAGAAAGCCCTTTTCTCTTTTGCCCGAAGAACATCAAACTTTCTCTCGAAGTCACCACCCCTTTTCCAGAAAAGGAACCAGTCAGGATGAGAGGCCCACGAGAAGCAGCGACGAGGAGGGACGGGCCACGCTGGTGGCGTGAGTCGGGCACGGCAGACGGGAGTAAGGCGGCGGAGTGAGCTGTGTGCAGGGAGGGCTCAGGGCTGCGACCAGAGGCGGAGGAGGTTTTGCTGTTTCCAAGAGGAAGACACACAAGTTTAAATGTGAAGAGAGAGAGCTGAGCTGAAGATGTGCCGAGGGACCGCTGAACCAGGCGGGGAGGAAGGGACTGTGGACACGGCTGCCACTGACCAGCAGGCGGGGTGGCGAAGGACGCGCGCCTGGCTGGTCGGGGCGGGAGGGCTGCAAGTCTCTTCATTAAGACACAGGAAGATGACGCACGAGGCTGGGACCACTGGCGCCCTCACCAAGCACACAGAAGACTCTGGGACTCGCACTAGGTCACACACTCCGTACACAAGAGGACTGCGCATGGCACCCCGGAATTCTGAAACAATTTGGGTACCAAATATATGAAAAGGACAACGCCCAAAAATGTTAGTTCTGTGTCATACCTACTGAATAACAAAAATACTGCATAAATGCTAAAAGGATGGAATAAAACAGTATTTGTTACCATTGGGATGGAAGCTTCTTGAAGGCGCACCTGGCGGAGTGCGTGGCCCCAGCAGGGCCCGATGGAGCGCACCTCACCGCCGTGTGAGTGACTTCAGGATACGGGTGAAGCCCCCACATGAATGCCAGTGTGAACGAGGGGGAAAGAACTGTCACTCAAACTACACTGATTCCAAAAAATGTCAAATTATAAATAACAATCAAAATACATAAACCAAGGAGATAAAATCAAGGAAAACTCCGAAAACAGTATTTTCAGACTTTAAAAATATGCACGGTTATTCATGGCATAGAAACAAAGATTCAGTTTATTATGTTCCTAAGAACAGTCTGGATGCTGAACTTACTACAGGAAACAAGTGTGAAATCTCAGAGCCCCTTCAAAATATGTAAATAAACCTCTGCTATTATTGTGGGAAAAAGCGACTGGATTTATGACCAACCAAGATAAATCCCATGATCTCACTCTGGAGCAGCGAAAGCTGGCAGACAATGAACCTGTCAGCGCTGGGACTGATGAGACCGAAGCGGCTGTACTTGACAGAGGTCCACGCCCAACAGTGGTCTCTACCGCATACACAGTGGCTTGCTGGCCTTGCTTTACACAGCGCAGCCCGGTCTCA